ATCACATCGGATTGTGAAAAAAAATTTGTAAAAGAGTGTTATTAGTATATAGTATTCTTTCTTAAAGAACTCTATTTCAATCTCCATCCGCTCATCTTCTGTGTCTTGAGATGGGCCTAAGAACACACTATGCTTGCCTTTTCCTTCCTTCAAAAAAAGAACTTAACTGTACAGTCCTTTTAGAAGCCCATCTCAAACCTGGAAATTTAAACACAATTTAAGCTCCATAGTGATCTTTCTGAGAGACCATAACCAGAATTTTTAGCTAATGGGGTCAAAATATCAACCATAAATTAACCCCAAATCTTATCATTTAAGCTTTTCAAAAAATTTCTATCAACCCAAAAAATTTAACTCATAAACCATGAAAACTATCAAATCCAACTCTAAATCAATCAATTAAACATATATCAAAATTAACTAATCCTTAAATCTTTACAACTTAGGTTTTCATCAATTCTTTAACCCATTCAAAATTAACTCAATAATTAACCAAAATTTATCAAATCCAACTTAAAACAATAACTAATTAACCCATACCTAATATAAACAATATTAATCAAAACCCACATAAAAATTTAAAAATTTAATCTTCCAATTTCAAACTCAACAAAAACTCATCTCTCATATCTTTTATCATTAAGAAAGCTAAAAAAAAGTTTTAAGCAAAAATAAAATAAATAAATACACAGACCTATCTTACTTTGTAAACTTCAAGGGTAGCTTTTCTTGAGTATCCAACTAAAAGAAAGAAAGTAACCTAGAAAATGAAGAAGAGAGAAAAGGTAAAAAACTGTTAATTAATACAAATTTTTAGGATCAATAAAATTTAACTTAGGTACTATAAAATATAATTTTTTTTTTTTTTTTTTTCATTTTGGGGGTAATTGAACCTATATTTTATGTACTAGCTACGTCCCTCGTCTTTGGTGACAAGTTTTTGGTCTTATCTATCATTCATCCCTAATCCACCACAAATAGATGGCTTCACAAACTTTCGAAAACCTGCAAACAATAATAAAAACACAATGTTAACATCTAAATCCTGGTTTGGAACAACATCCATTATAAAGAGGCCAAAAATAATATGATTTTACGTGCTAGATAGTAAGAATTGTTGTACAAACTTAAAAAGAAATAAGTGAAACAAATAGGGATATAGTTGATTATCAATTTCTAATTAGTCATGTTTAATTACCATTGGATTCACTCATTGGAAAGTGATGACATTTTACAAATAAGAATCTAACAATAATTAAGCATGATCTTGATATAATTAATATCATAATGTCTTGATTAGAGAATTTTCGATAGTTGACAATGGAAGAAATTAGCATGGATTTCGGTAAACTTCACCACATTTGATCTATAGGTCAACCTCCCCATGCAATTTAAAGCCCTCTTACTCCAACCATGTAACAATTTTTTCCACTTTCTTTGTCTAGTGCAAAGTTCTGTGTCGAAGAATTACAAAGGCAATTAACTTATACATGATTCAGAGATTGGGTAACAAAAAATTATGAATTTGGACAAATTGTACATTGTCTAAGGGTAGAATTGGATGTTCTGTAAACTTATAGCATAAAAGTCAAGGTAAATCCAAGGTAGTTAGTAAGTCATGATTTGTCTTGTATTTTAATAGATAATAAGTCAAGGATCATATGATGGAAATCTCAATTGATTTCTAGCCAATAATAAACGCAGCATTGATTAAGCAACTTTTCAGTGATTTCTAGCTTTATAACCCAAAAGTCGTTTGGTTATGGTCATTATTTTAAAACTCAGACCGGAGGACAACCCGTTTTGTTGGCCGAGTCATAGGTTCATCGGTCCAACCGGTTTGACCGATAACATCAGGGGCAATTTTTTTAAAATAATTCTGTTAATCCCTTAAATTTTAATATATTACAAAAATTTCCCCTAAAAAGTTCAAATTATCCCTAAATTTTTTATTTATTTCAAAAAAGGACCCAAAAAATTACCAATTAATCCCTAAACTTTTGACATATCTCCAAAACACCCCAATAAAATTACAAATTAACCCTTTTAATTTTGAAATATTACAAAAATCTCCTAGGACCTGAACTGGACCGGAGAAGCTGTCAGCTTCCGGTCTGACCGGCTATGATGGAGATCTCAATTGATTTCTAGCCAATAATAAACGCAACATTGATTAAGCAACTTTTCAGTGATTTCTAGCTTTATAACCCAAAGGGCGTTTGGTTATGGTCATTGTTTTAAAACTCGGACCGGAGGGCAACCCATTTTGTTGCCCGAGTCACGGGTCATTGGTCCAACCGGTTGGACCGATGACATCAGAGATAATTTTTTTAAAATAATTCTATTAATCCCTTAAATTTTAATATATTACAAAAATTTCCCCTAAAAAGTTCAAATTAGTCCCTAAATTTTTTATTTATTTCAAAAAGGACCCAAAAAATTTCTAATTAATCCCTAAACTTTTGACATATCTCTAAAACACCCCAATAAAATTACAATTAAGCCTCATAATTTTAAAATATTACAAAAACCCCCTAAGACCTGAACTGGACCGGAGAAGTTGTCGGCTCCTGGTCTGACCAGCCGGTCTGGTTCGGCTTTGAAAATAGAGATTATGGTCCTAAGAAGATTACTCCAGTAATTTGTGTTTTAATCCAGACATTATCTTGTTTAGTTCATGTTTTAATCCGGACATTACCTTGTTTAGTTCAGAAGGTAACATGAGATTACAATAATCTTTTATTACGAGGTAATATTCAACGGGTATAAGAGGTAATGTGATTACCGACTTAGAGAGTTATATTTTAATATTATCTGGTAATCCTAATTTTGTTCCAATTTTATCCTTACTTAATAAAAATTATGGACACAAATGCCATCCTATTGATGTCAAATAGCAATTAACTCAATTTGTTGAATGACTTCTTTAACCCCATTAATTAACTATTTGGAAAAAAATACCTCATATATAATAATAATAATAATAATAATAGTAATAACAAATAACAACAACAACAACAATAATAATAATCTTGTAAAGGACATTTCAATAAAACAATATTTAAGTATTCTGTTTTTATTGCCAATTAAACACATTAATTATTTATACATACCACACGAACCAAACACAATAATAATTTATACTTATTAATCTTTAAAATTATTTATCTCACTGATAATTTTATATTTTTTGTAGTAAAATATTGTCGAAACCAAACGCCACCAAAGTACTAATTTGTTAATGTTTTATTTGGATTACCTACATTCAAAAGCTTAATGTTTTGTCTATGGGTTTCAAAAAGGTGAATAAAATGACTTTCACTCACCCTACTACCATTTTTGATGAGGATGAGATTACTGCAAAGGTGGAAAAAAAATATCCTCTTGGACAAGAAACCGAATTGGAAATGATATCCTGGTAATCGGATGGCAGAAACTTCTCACACCATCCAAATCTGCAGTTGATTCGAACAGAGGAGAGTCAGGAGGCACCGCTGGGACTTTTAGTGAACTTTCAGGGACAAAGCCACTAAGGGCTGAGTGGGGGCTCATGATTTGTATTTGTCCAAAAAGCCCCTTTCGTCTATGAAAGTAGTCCTTAAGTCCTTGTGCCACCACTTTTTTCTATGTTTTTATTTTTTTTCTTCAACCTGGAAAATAATTTAAGCTATGATTTTTTTTCCTCTTATGATTAAATATAGTATATCTATAAAATGATCACTATATGTTATAATTTCAAAACTAATTTTTCTTTGACTAAGTTCTTCATTTAATCAAGATAGAAATATTAATTGGTACCTCAAATTTTTAATTTTACGGTCAATTTTCGTATTTTTAATGTTCTAATCTTTTCTTTTAATTATCCCCACTAAAACAAAATCCTTCACAGGACACTTTGCATGCATCTCTTGAAGATGCAAGGGAGATGATCTGGGATATGCAGTCTTCGGGCAAAACAATTCTCATATCCATTTCACTTATTTTTAATTAATTTTCTAATTTACAACATTAAGTATTAACTATTCTATCTTATTCATATGAGGTTAGATTAATTAGGAGAAGACAAGAATTTGTTGAGTCAATGAAGCAACGTGTTTTATTAGTATTTTTGTACAAGATGACAATTCATGGAATGTTCTATAGACACTCTCATGATTCATGGTAGTTCTAGAAATGAAGTCAATAGCAACATTTTAAAGAGTATTTTATCATTTTTGGGTAAAAATTCTAACTAATTTTCAACAGCTTGCCAATTTCTGAGCTAAATAATAAGTTATTACTCCAATCGCTTGCTTATTAATTTGGAGTTAAAACGATAATAATGTGGTCTTAATCCCAACAGACTGAAAGTTGATAGAATTTTGATCGCCCATCTTTGTGAAATTTGACTTTTGAGCAACTGATTCTAACATATGGGAACATTTAGAGCACGATTATCATGGTTTTGTAAATTTTCAGGCTGTGAACAATCAAGTATGCAAATTATAAAGTTAAAAAAATCTTAAAAATTGGTAGTTATTGTGAATTTCTTCACAATCTTAATATATGTTTTAGTACTTAAATCAAATTAGTCAATATTATGCGTGACAACCTGTTAGTCAATATGACAATTGAATAAATATAAGTTATTACTTACAAAATAAGCAATATGTGAAAGCGAGAAGGTCTATCTATTCAAACGATGAAAAAAGAAAGAGGAAATAAAAATTAATATCCAATTCATATATTTTAATAAGAACAAAACAAGTCTTATCTCTTAATATTTTAGATTATATTTTAATCAAGACGTTGTCAAAGCTTTATATATAATAGAGTCGGTGATCTTTAAATTTAAAATTTCTGACTTCAAACTTTTTAATCTATTCATGTATCTTAATCCAGTAGTCATAATATTTAATGTCGACAACTCAACAACACTTCTAGACCTTTCTGATTTTGANAAAAGATGAAATTAAGATTTAAGCCATTAAATTTATGAAAGACATGCTCCACCATGAGGTTTTGGTCATTTGTGCTACCTGTCCTAGGTTTTAAAATAACTGTCAATTCAGGCTTCTTATATATAATACCATCTTGTTGGTAGCTTCCTTCACTGACCAACGTCTTGTTCAATCTCATACGTAACTAAGGCATTCAATACTACAAAATCAAGAGTTGGATAGAGGAGCAGAAGAAAAGAACTAATCAAAATGGACATGAGTGTTGTTCTTCCTGAAGAGTGTTTATCCAAAATCATCTCCCTTACATCTCCCAAAGATGCATGCAGATTGTCTGTAGTGTCTCCTTTCTTTAAATGTGCTGCGGATTCTGATACCGTTTGGGAGAGCTTCCTGCCATCAGATTACGAGGGAATCATTTCCAATTCGGCTTCACCATCTCTGTTCAGTACTTGCTCGTCCAAGAAGGATCTTTATTTTCATTTCGCAAATAAACCCATCTTCGTCAACAGTGCCAAAACGGTAAGCAAAAGTTATTTTATGATCAAGGCACTACATTTGGCGAAAAATATGCATTATATTCTGTGTTTGTGTGCGCTTTTGGTTCATAGAAATTCAGATTGGTTTGTTCATAAATGGTTTATAAGGGTTGAATCAAATGATTCTTCCCCTGCTTCAAAATTAAAATTTGGGGAGTGTCACATATTCAAAACTTTTGAATTCAATCCTTGCCTCTTTTTTCGGCTTTTTTTGTTCTTTTTTTTCCTGATGTATACTTAAACGTATGTGATTCTTTGACACAGATCTTTGCACTAGAGAAAGAGAGTGGAAAAGTCTGTTGCATGGTTGGTGCAAAAGCAGGGATATCTGTCACTTGGGGAAGTAAATCCTATTGGACATGGCCATCTCTACCAGAATCCAGGTTTGTTCTTCTGTCACTTGTCCTTAAAAGTCGTAACCTTTTTTAGCTCCCTATGATTAGTTCTTCAGTAATTCTAATAGCAATTAGTATCTTTTCATTTAAGGTTTCCTGAAGTGGCTGAACTAAAGCCTGTTTGTTGGTTCGAAGTCACGGGAAAAATAGAGACCAAACTTTTGTCCCCTGAAACCACCTATGCAGCTTACCTTGTATTCAAGTTTGCTGACTCCAGAAATGGATTTGACACAAGACCTGTAGAGTTATGTTTCTACGTTAGAGGAATGGAGGAGGAAGAAAGAAGTAAGGTGTTTCTTGACGCTCAGGCGGGTGCACCCAACCTATCTCAAGATCGAGGACACGGCTGGAGGGAGATTGAGATTGGTGAATTCTTTAAAAAGCATGGAGAAAATGGAGGCGTGGTATATAGTTTGTTTGATTTTGATGGCTTCAGCAGTAAACATGGCTTGATTATAGAAGGAATTGAGCTGAGGCCTAAAAGTGTTTGATAAAAGTAACACCTCCAAACATATATAATTCTTTTAAATAAGCTTTTGTTAATGTGCACTTCTAAATCAAGATTGTATTAATGATGCTTTTTGTTTTGTGTTCTAATTGTTCTCTTGAAAGTAATTTCGAATTCTTGCGCATATGGGTTTCTTTTACATTCTATTTAGGGTTGGGATTTGTCTCCGAAATTCTAGGGACCTGCCCCCTCGCCCCGCCCCATGCGGGGTGGGGGTTCCTCGACATAAGTAGCGATGGGGACAAAAAAAAAAAAAATTCGCCCATAGGCATGGGGCGGGGATAGGGATAGATGTCTCCCTACCCCACCTCGTTTAAACCCGAACCCGAATAGATAAAAATAGATTGACCCGAATCCAAGTAATAAAAATCTCTTTTCTCTTCCAGTTCTTTCTCCAAGTCACCAAACTGCACCCATTGCGCTGAACCAACCACCGCAGCCCCACATCGCACCAAAATCCGAACCCACCCCATTCCAAACCACCACTATAGCCACCACACCCCTCTTCGGAAATATTTCTATAACCATCCATCAAGCAACCCACCACAATTGGGGGTATTAGGTTCCGGGTACCCTACATTTTTTGAAGGAATCGAAACCGGAACCGACGATTCCTTGAAATTTGGAACCGAACTGGAACCAAAGGTTCCGGTTCCGGTTCCTAGGTACCTAGAACCAGAACCTGTAACAATGGTTTTGGTTCTGGGTATCCTATAAAATTACAATTATCCCCCAAAAATTTTTAAAATGACAAAAAAACCTTAAAAACTTACAAATACCCCCCTACTTGGCACTTGTTAATAAAAATGAAATTACAAATTACAAACTCCATTACTTTGTAAATGTAGATTCTCAAAAGTCAAACCAATTTACTTTAAATGTTATGAAATATAAATATAAATGTATTCACATTACTTTTTCTACAAAAGTTTTTATTAACCCCCCTACTCTTTAATTTTATTTTATATTAGTCTCAGTTCCCGGTTCCCAGTTCCGGTTCCTAATTATAAGAACCAGAATCGGAATTGCACATTAACAGTTTGAAAATTTTGGAACCGGAACTTACCCAGTGACGACCGGTTCCGGGTAGGAATCGAAACCAAACCCCGGGTACCTGCCGGTTCCGATTCCAATTAGTTCTTTTGAACACCCCTGACCACAATAGTGTTCACCCACACAACCAAATCACCATCGCACTCGTCCCTCCCCCCTACAAAGTAGCACCCATAGGGCCCCACCCACCTCTCCAAAACAATACCCACCATGAAGTAAATCAACCCAACACAAAGCAAGCAAATAAACCCAAATCCACACCATTAATTATTTAAAAAAAAAGGGGGAAGAAAAGGAAAATGGAGAATGGGATCTCATGGGGTGGGGAGAAGGTTGCTTGCAACTTGAATCTTTCTCTAGCCAATCTCATAACTCAGAAGTCGTTTGTCAATTCCAGTTTTCATCGTCTTGTTTAGGCTCATTAGTGAGTTTTCTCTTAGCCCTCGGGGATTTTCTCCCCGTAGTTTGGGACGAGGATGGGGCGGTGGAAGGGATGGGGATGGGGAATGGAAAACTTGACCCCGCCCTGCCCCCGTTCCCATCCTTAATTTAGTCAGTCTAGATAAATTTATCTAAATTCTTTAGTTATTGAATTGAAGTTTTATTTTAAAGTGAAGGTGTGTCTTGATTTTATATCAGTCAAATCTTTACCAAACTTCATACATTGAACATATATTTGGGAAGACAAAATGGATATTTGGCGATAGTTTTGGTACTATAGTCATTCTCTTTGACAATGAATAATATAATCAAACTAACTACCATAAATAATGATTTACCTAACAAGCCAATTATTATATAGGAGTTAATAATGGGCCAATTATCATATACTTCAAATGACCCTAAAACAAGCAAATATGATCACTTACAGTTAAACTATTGAAAATGTGGCTCAAACACATGAAATATTGGAAAATATGGTTTTTGCTTATATCCCACATTGGTTAGGAAACTAAGAAGTCAAGTCATGGTTTCCTATATAAAGGGGTGGGATTTAACTTAAGTCCCACATTGGATAGTTAACAAAAAGCTTTTGTTAGCTATACATAGGGATATTATGCTTTAGTTTGAGTATCCAAATCCATTTTTTGATCATCATAGATTTAGGAGTTTGCATTTGAGAGTTTTCACTTTGTTTTGGGTAATTATTTCTATGCCCATTAGTTTGGGTATTTGTAGTATTGCCCAAAAGTTTGTAATATTTTTTAGAAGATAGTGAAGTTTCTTTTGCAGTGCCCGAAGTGCTCGAAGACGTAGGTAACAATACCGAACCTTGTTAATTTATTGTATTCTTTATTTTCGCATTTATTTGGCTATTTATTTTTGCTTTAGTAGTTGTTATTATTATATTTCAATAGCTAGCATTAGAGTTTATGTTTCCGTTGCATAACAAGTGGTATCAGAGCATAGGTTTAGGACAGTGAGTAGCCATTTCTATGGTTATGTGCATGTCTAAAAAAAATTTGTCACCAAGACGATAGTAGTCTAAGGAGATTGGATTTTAAGTGGGACCATTTGTGACCCCTCCAATGTATCTTGAGAATTTTCCTAGTACATATTGAATCATTTCAACACTTACTATTATCTTGGGCTATTTTCTAATTTTTGTTTTTTTTAACTATCAAATGTGGGACTTAAGGTAAATCCCACCCCTTTATATAGGAAACCAAGACTTGACTTCTTAGTTTCCTAACCAATGTGAGATATAAGCAAAAACCAATATTTTCCAATATTTCAAGTGGTTGAGCCACATTTTCAATAATCACCACCTTGGCGAAAAACACAATTTAATTCTAGCTTGATGAGATTGTCTTTCAAATATTTTTCATATTCCAAACATCCTCTTGAATGCAAACCTTTATCACAACTTTCCAAAAGCTCTCATCAGCGCCATCGACATTGATAAAATTGCTTTTCATATTTCGAACATCCTCTCGAATGCAAGCCTTTATCACAACCTTCCAAAAGCGCTCATCAACTCCATCGACATTGAAGAAATCGTTTGTGCCATTGTCTTGGTGAAATAGTGATTTCTTCAATGTCGATGGTGTTGATGAACGCTTTTGGAAGGTCGTGATAAGGTTTGCATTTGAGAGTGAAAGTTTTAAAAGGGGTTACCAAGTGATTAAAACTTATGCAGAATGGGTTGCTTGTTCATATTGTGCATAGGAGTTGTTTAAGGTATAAATGAAACATCCATCAAACCAAGAAAAGAACACACTCATTTTTACATGGTTCGACAACTTGCCTACATCCATGGGACCAAGTCCAGAAGAAGCAAATCCATTATGAAAACTTATGAGTTCAAATACAAAGCAAGATAACCAAAGTTGCAAAAACACTCCCTGTTTTCTATACGACAACTCTACCTTCTTTGGTTGAACTTCAAGCCACCATAGCAAGCTTCACACACGAAACCACCAGGTTGCACTTGAGCTCCTCTCAAGTTTCAACAGCGAAGGATCAACTTCGGGACAGCAGTTGCACACATCCAAGCATCAACATGGAACCATGTTCCAGAATCATAACAACAAAGACAATGAAGAGAAGGTAATTTAAAGCCTACCAAAGCATAGAAGAAACTTTAAACGAATACAAAAACCACAAAGGATATTCAGTGATGAATCAAAGGCAATTAGGTTTCTTCAGGAAGACACCAGAAAAGTATGAATATATAGAGAATAAGGTGACTAGGGTTGGGGGACCAAAAAGTTAAAGTAAAACTTTTGTGTTTTTCTTTTTGCACAAGAAATTTAGGACCACAAGCAAAACCAATATTCATTTTCTCACACAACGAATAGAAAGTGGACAAGTGGAAAGGCACAAAATAGAATATCAACAAGGAATAATATTGTCCAAAAAGCAAAACGGGTACGTGATGTGTGATTGAGGAAAAATATTTGACAGATGCATTGTGAGCACACAGACTCTAAAGTGCTCACACTTGTGAAGGTGATCACCTTTAGAGAGTGTGCCCACATTGGCAGAAAGGAAAAGATAGTGCAAGACACAAAACAAGATCATAAGATGACAAAAATACTAACAATCTCCCCCTTTGTTAATCTTATGAACAAAGCACAATCTTTTCATTCACAAACCTGTCTAAAAAAAACAATGATCAATCAACAAGAGACAAACTTAATTAAGACAACACACAAACATATCTCATAAGGACATAATCATCAAGGCATAGAGATAAGTATGAAACAAAGACAACAAGCAAAACATAATCAGTATGATTCAATTAAAAACAGTTTTGCAAGATCAAAAATTAAACTAAAAAACTCCCTCTCAATTAGTATACTCCCCCTGTAACTAATCCAACATACATAACAAATTTACCAATCAATTTCCATAAGGGGACGTACAGTTCAAGTCACATATGGACTGAAAAGAATGTTATTTGCATATCAAGAGAAGAATTAGTAGGAATTCAAAAGCAAATAACAACACAAAGAAAATGCAGTTAGAATACAAGTATAAACAAAAATTACTGCACAAAACACAACTGCATTAGTTAATAATTGTAAGTAATTGATCTACCAAACACAGCGGAAAACAAAAAATTTCAATCGGTAAATCAATTACCTTTTTGCCAAGATTCGAGTATAGATTATACCGTTCACATGTTTATAAACAAAATCTGTATAAAATAAATCCATTCAAGAATTAGAATACTTACGTACGTTTGGAGGCTCCTCCGAATATCTTTGATTCCGGACATGAACATATTCACCGATTACTGTTCACCGCATACTGTTCACTGTCTACTATTCACGTGATTCTTCGCTAATTGATCCAATGTAGGATCGCACTCATGGAAGTCCACACGAAGATAATCCGAAGAACCGACAATTGTTTTGCTAGAACAATTGCCGGCATCAAGAATCAAGAACAATCAAAATTGAAAAATTTTCTTCTTCACTTGAAGATGAAAACGTGAGAGAGAGAGAACCTTTTGGGTGGCTAGGGTTTTTTAATTGAATGAATAATTCTATTTATTTTAATTTTAAGTTGCACTAATATAGTGCAACAATTAAAACCCTATTCCACTTAGGAATAGCCATGGGCTCCAACCCTAGTTCACCCTTGCAACCAAACTTGGGTTTAGTTCCG